CAGTAGCAACTCCTGAAGGCATTTGTGCTGCTGATACTATTGATGTCACAGGGATGGAGTCTGTACAAAATCTGCAATTTCCTTTTACATAAAGAAGGCACATCACACGTTCCTTTAGGGCATTGTGTGTAATCAACAAACCATTTGTAGATTGTCAGGGGGGAAAAACCTGGAAAAATCAGGAAGAAAACTTTTTTTCTCCCACCTAACCCATTTCCCCATAAACTGAGAAGAAAAATATTGATTGGTTTACCCAGGGGTCGTTTCGTAGAAAAAGAGCTAGGGGAACTCATTAGCATAACTCATTAGCATATGCCACACCCCCTGACATCACTGGAAGTGTGTCATAAGGCCACACCCCCTGACATCACTGGAAGTGTGTCATAAGCCACACACACCACCCCCAACGGTCCCGGTGGCCGCCGCCTGCCTTGCAGCGCCACTGCCAAGCCCCATGAGGGGCCCGGCGGTGGACCTGCAAGGCCGGCGGGAGTGCAAGGAAGCCCCGCGAAGGCCCTCCCTGGCCCCAGGCAAGCAGGGGTGGGGAGAGGCAGGGAGGAAGCAACTTACCCTCCATCTTCTCCTGCCTCCTCCTGGCTGAATGAGGGCTGGAAGCGGGGCGGCCGGAAGCGGGGGGCAGGGCTTCGTCATGTGCCCCACCCCCGTACCTCACCCGGGGGAACTGCGATCCCCCGCGATCCCCCCCGAAGTGACCTCTGGGTTTACCATAACAGAAGTGCTTTATCGAACATTGTCTAGTCAAATGAGTTCAAAATAAAGTTAAAACAATTCTTAATATTGTTATTTCCACCCTACAGAATTTCATAATAATCCAGCCCTCTTTTAAAAATGAGACTATATCCAAGTTACTATAGTGTTACGTAGGAGACCACCCAACCCACTGGTACTCCTATATTTGTTCACCCCAAATGACCCTCTTGATTGGCAGAGGCTTAGATAAATACCCAGCGTGATATCGAAGCAGAGGAATTTCCCTGGACACTGTCACATGGAGTCACCCAACTGCTGGAGTGCTCCAGAGAGCACACTGATTAAAGGCCTTCTCTCTAAAGCCTCTAGAGCTCCCTCAAACCTGTGGCCATGAGCAGTTCACTCATTTGCTGGACAATAACCTGAGACTCCAGAGCCCTCTTCACATTGTGGTGGTGGTAGAAAGTGCAGTCAAGTCGCAGCCTATGGCGACTCCATAGGTTTTTCAAGACAAGATACAGAGGTGCAGGGATTTTTTTGTAGAAAAAGCCCAGCAGGAACTCATTAGCATAATAGGCCATACCCAACAGCAGAAACTCATTAGCATATTAGGCCACACCCCTGATAGCACAGCTCATTAGCCTATTAGGCCACACCCACATGTTACCAGAAGTGTGGTCATCCAGCCTCACCCACCTTTTGCTTCTTATTCTGTTTACCTTGTTTGTTGTCAAAACCCAGGGCTTTTTTTGTAGCAGGAACTCCTTTGCATGTTAGGCCACACACCCCTAATGTAGCCAATTCTAATGTGTTTCTGCTGTTGGGTGTGGCCTGTTATGCTAATGAGCTCCTGCTGGGCGTGGCCAACTCAGGAGCCAGCCGGAAGTCCATTCCTGTGCGTTCCTGCCCCAAAATAGCCCTGCAGAGGTGGTTTGCTGTTGTCTGTCTCTGCATAGCAACCCTGGGCTTCCTTGGTGTTCTCTTATCCAAGTACTAACCAGGGCTGACCCTGTTTAGCTTCTGAAATCTGATGAGATTGAGTTAGCCTGGGCCATCCAAGTCAGGGCCTTAACAGTGCAGCCTTCTCCATTCGTTCAATCAACAGTCCAGGGAATGTCATTAAGTTGCTGCTTGAGCCAGCTTGTGCCAGTCTGTCACTCAAAAAAACTCAATCACCCCCCCCTAAGTTATTTATTTATTTACAAAATCAGTAGCTTGCCTTTCTGCCCTCATCAGAGTCACCAAGGTGGCTAAAAGATTAAAAACATACATCATAAAAACGTGTTTAAAACCATTATTAATAAACAAAAATCATTAAAATATATGATTTTCCTTTCTCACTTTATTTCCCCTTAGCCTCTTCATTTTCACTCCAATTAGGCATAACCAAGGATAATGTTACTGTATTGCACTGTTGTTTTACGCTTTTGCTTTCCCTTGCATTTCATATTATAGCGTTATATCTTTATAGGGTAATACGGATTTTCTAGTTTGTAGTTCTCTCTCTTTGTCTTATCTTTCTAAAGGAATTGTGCTAGAAAGGGATCCATATATACAAAGACTGCAACAGAGCCAGATAAATTACCCCAGAACACACAAAAAGAGTAGGTTTTTATTCCCCACTTTACCCTAGGGAGTTTTAAAGCGGAGTACAATTGCCTTCCCTTCCACTCCCCACAACAGGCACCTTGTGTGGTAGGTGGGGCTGAGAGAGTTCTGAGAGAACTGTGACTGGCCCATGATCACCCAGCAGTAGGGTTCCCAAACGGCGGCGGGGGATCCGCGCGTGTTCGCAGGATCGCTGCCGCGGGGGACAGCGATCCGCGCTGCACCGGCGTCGCCAGGATGTGACGCTATGCGTCGCCCTGGCAACGGGACTCCAAACAGCCCCGTTGCCAGGGCGACGCATAGCGTCACATCCTGGCGACGCCGGTGCAGCGCGGATTGCTGTCCCCCGCGGCAGCGATCCTGCGAACACGCGCGGATCCCCCGCCGCCGTTTGGGAACCCTACCCAGCAGGCTTCATGTGGAGGAGTGGGGCATCAAACCGGGTTCTCCAGATTAGAGGCAGCTGCTGTTAACCACTACACCATGCTGCCATGCTGTACACGACAGACCTGTGACAAGGACCAATTTGGGTAGTAATAGCTGCCTGTCAATGAATTTTATAAACAAACAAAAAAAATCTTCTCATTAAATAGAAGTAGACTTTTTTGCCTGCTTTGTTTGGTAGTGCTTGTTTGTTTGATAGTGGCTGTCAAAGAAGCCTTAACTCCTTGACTGAACCTAGGACTTTCTATTTTGCCACTGAGTAACATTAAAAGGTAACAAAACTATGCGATCTTCTTTGTTTTATTAATCTAGGCCTTGTGTTGAGGGCTTTTGTTACCTCAATTGGTCATCACGCTGGGGATGAATATGTAAAATATCCACTACATGCGCAAAGCAAGACATGGATGCTGGGGGATCTTTGAGTCTCGTGTACACAAAGCTTGGGCATGGCAGAAAATCTTCTAGGAAAGGCAAGAGGAAAAGAAGACAGATACTTAACCAGAAAATAAGTTTATTGACCAAACCCAGATATGGAATAGCATAATAGTGCTGGTACAATACAGCGCAGCTGAACTGTTCAATGAAAAGAAATAAACAGTTTTTGTACAATCCTGGTGCTTAGTTGTAAATTCAGTTAAAGTTACTTTTACTTACATTGTGTTCTTGCCATGTGGCTAGTCCAAAGAAAAACCAACCCAGAAAGAAGAGATAGGTGAGTGATTGCCCCAGAAAATGAGACCAAGAGGTACTGAGGGATAAACAGGGAAGGATTTTGGAGTATGAAACACAGATTCCTTCCATGTGACAAGTGCTAGTGCAGAAGGGCTGTTTAGTCAGGTGAGTGGGTGCAAGCAGATAGAAGGATGTGAAAGACAGGTGTCAGGAAGGGAAGCAGAATGGGAAAGAGAAAAATCATACTCTGTCCGTCTTGATGAGGAAGTCTGGTGATTTCATGCTTGTAGTGATGGAAGAAAAGTCAGGAGCCAAAGCAGCTTTAAAAATGGAGGGCTTGGCATGCCTGCTTTATGAACCTGAATTTAATTAGGCTTGGATAGGGGAAGCAGTGCTGTTGGCCAAAACTGGTGCAAAAATAAGCTCTTCAATGCTATTTGGCCAAAAATTCAGGATCTAATTGCTGTTTGGTGAAATTTGGGTTGCATTGTGATTGGTGGAACTTTAGGATATGGAAAGAAGGTCAGACTCTGAGCTGCCATAGGATATTGGTGGAAGGTCCAACTCTCAACTGCCAAAGGATACTGGTGGAAGGTCAAACTCTGAGCTGCAATAGGATAATTCATACTTGTGAGAATTCTGGTGAAAAGTATAAATACATGATGCAGTAGGGAGGGGAGATATGTCCAGCTGCAAATGATTGAGTCAATTGGGCATTAAGTGTTTGACTCATACCCCTTGACAGTGGTCAGCAGATGGGTTGATGGCTCTTGCTAGTCCCTTTATTAAGTTTACAGAGAAGTCCACATTGTGAGGGAGATTGTGAGAGTGTAATTATTGTCCAGCAAACATGAGTTGTGACTCATTGCCAGGGTATGAAGGGGCCACACAAAAGAGTTGTGTACATGCCTTAACTGAGATAGTCTGACTTTATATCAAAAGACAAATCTATCCAGGCCTCTGACTCTGCTAGGCCAGAGCATTTAGGGGTGGTAAAAAGATAGTTCTTGGTGGGGGAGGCAACACCTTAGCCTCTTTATGTGTTACTTGAGGCAGTGTTACAGATGTGTCCCCATTTTCTGCTTCCTTCCTCCTTTTTTCCAGTGATAAAACTGATACTTTTCCCCCAGAGACAAACAGAATTGACTCTATTGGAATAAACCTCTCCTCCGCCCATCTCCATTTTACCTTCACCCTTCAGTCTTTTCCCACATCTACTTTTCCTCTCATTCAACTAAATGCACCCAAGTCAAAGAACTTCCAGTGACTAGGGGTGAGTTTCCCACTCAGCACAGGTTCTCTTCCATTCATGTTCCAAGGGAAATTATCTACTACTTTCCATGTCACTATACTTTGGCACCCACATAGCTGCTAACAACTTTTTTCTAGTGTTGTCACTGCTCTGGCAAAATTATTTGTGAACGACTGGTAAAAAGATTCCTGTCCTTTGTACAAATGAATGTGCCTTGTTAGCCGCCCTGAGCCCTACGGGGGAGGGCGGGGTATAAATCTGATTAATAAATAAATAAATAAATAAATATTCGCTCATCTTTTCTTTGCCAAAGGAATTGCTCAAAGATGCACAACAATCAAGTACCACTTCTCTGTGCCAATACGTTTACAGAACATCCCATTCAATTTAACCAAGACCATTCAGCAGTTTTTTTTCAGCAGGATGAATGGCATCTGTTACGTAAGTATTTGTGCTTTCAGTTTGTACAAGTAGTCTTTCTAAGGTGATATTAAATATTATGAGGAACTATTACAAAGTCCAGGAAGCGATCCAGAAAATACTGAATTTTGGGTTAAGAAATGTTGAAAGTTATTGTCGTACGTTCTGTTTGATATTCAGATATTTGACAATGGCTATATAAAGTAATTTTTTTTAAAGGATGCAGGAAATTTCCCATCTAAATCCACACTAAATGTATATCCCGTAGCCTAGATGCTGCCAATTTTGGTAGTTTGATGATATGTTGACAATTCTGTTAGATTTGCACTGTCTTTACATTCCTCCATTGCAATTCCTCAGAAAAGGATAGTTTAAACCTGCTTGTCTGTAAGATGGTATCTGTTCTAGTACGCTGTGGTTTATTTGTGAGTATTCAGATCCTTTAGTTTTTTTAACACGTTGGAAGTAATTTAACCTCCTGTTTTTGTTTTCCTTGTGGAAACAGATCTAAGAAGAATCACAGCAGGTTTCCTTGGGATGGCAGCAGCTGTTCTTCTATGTGGGTGTATTGTAACAACAGTCAGTTTCTTTTGGGAAGAGAGCCTCACACAGCACGTTGCTGGGCTTCTTTTCCTCATGTCAGGTACCATTTCATCTCTGCCTGCTAACATTGTTGAGGTGAAATTCTTCTTTTATAAATTCATATGATAACCATTCAATCCTATTAGTTCAAATTAAATCCCATTTTCTATTACATAGAAGCCATCAGTTAAGTATATTTGAATGCTCCCCCCCCCCCCGGTCTGGAGACAATTTAAGGCAGGTTGGAAGGGATAATTTCTTGGGGTGTGTCCAAACATCCTAGATTCACCTCTGTCAGATAGTCATAGGGCATTTTTTATATTTAAAAAACCAAAACAAAACCCATTTCATGAGAAGCGACAACCAGGATAAAAGAAACATGGGAGGTGATGATTCTGTCAAACTGCTTAGGGCCTACCTCTGAGCCATCTTCCTGTACTGAAACAGCACTTGGGGGAGTTACTTCCTCATATTTGCTGCTCCATGTGCACAGAATACACCATGTGGAATAAAAAAAACAGGGAAACAACTCCCTTGTAGTGCTGTTTTGCCTTGGGAAAATGGCCTGTAGGGGGAAGGCAGAAACCCTTCCTTTCCTGTGGCAGCATTCCACTCCCATTTGGGCTCCCTTTTATGTTTTAAAAGCCATTCCCTGAACCTCCTCTGTAGTTGTGGGGAACCCAGGCCCAGCTCATTAAACATCCAAACATGTAATTTGGCCCTTAGTCTTTTGGCATCCAAAGAAGAGAGATTGTAATTCACACTCCTAGCCCAGGCAGAAAAGGAAGAAGCTCTTCAGCACTTTTTTCTTCTTGTGGATCCACACACAACAGCTGTGATTAACATGAGATTTCTGACTTTTTAAATTATGATGTTGTAAATTGGAGCAGAACAAGTCAACAGTGCAGCCCTAGGAAGAGTTACATCCTTCTAAGCCCATTGACTTTAATGGACTTAGAAGGATGTAACTAATGATTGTCCAGTTTAATGTGTAATGGTATGGTACAGGTAAGTCAATACATACTTATTCTTTCCTTATGACGTAGAGGGGAATGACAGGACCTAGAATGATATCCACTTGCTTTTCCAGTTCACTAACCACTCTTGTGTCTGTACAAGAACTAATGTTGGTATTATAGGGCAACAATAGATAATTTCCCATAGCAGGGCAGCTACAACATTTAAAATTGGGGGGGGGGGGGGATAATGTAGATTACCCTGACCTCCTTGGAAGAAGGGCGGGCAGTATACATCATTCTCCCCCCTCAGGTGGGGGATTCTCCCCTTCCTCCATTTTATCTTCAAAACAGCCCTGCAAGGTAGGTAAGGGTGAGGGAAAAAATGTTAATTTTTTTGCAACATGCAAAGCTACCCTTAGCATGATACTTGCTGACAGCTTACAGTCATATAATACATTGTTGAGTGGACAGTCATGGCCTCCTTTACTGTGCAGACACTACCAGGTTCAATCAAGAAAAACATAAAAGTTGAATAGGCAAAAGCAGTTAGGACTCAATCTTACTCAGGTCCGTTCAGTGGGTTTATTCTCAGGAAAGTGTTCTTAGAATTATATTGGAAGTGAATCATGGAGGAGCTTGTGTCTCCATAAGCCGCCCAAGCCTCATTGGAGAGCAATACCTCGTATTTTGAGAGCCAGAATTGAAACATACAAGATACGCATCTTCCACTTTTCCTGACTGCCTTCAAACTGTTAAGAAAAATAATACTGCAGAATGGCTTCCATTCTTTCTGTTTTCAGCAGCTTGGCTGTCATTTTAGAGCTTGCCTGAACGAAGCTGGTTTTATACAAAAATATTATGACCATTTTTAAGAAGGAAATGAAAAAAAATCATACCAGCTCTCTCTCTCACACACACACATAGAATCATAGAGTTGGATTCTATCTATCTATCTATCTATCTATCTATCTATCTATCTATCTTAAAAAAGCAGTTGGAATTTTCAGTGGTATTTCTCTCACAATGAGTTCTTTCTCTTTCTTCAGGAAATTTTTAATGTGTTATAATTACATTGAACCACATAGACATATTCAGAAAGCTCTTAAGACATGACATATGCCAGAATATCGAGGCACATTCAGATACTAATAGAATGAACATCTCATTGAAAACAACGCAATACAGACCAACCACAGTCACGATACAGGGGTGCATTCCGATGCATATTTGCATTGCAGAATGAGATACCAGTGGAGAAATCTGCTTAACACGGAGATCTCCTAAGGTGAATCATGATCCTGCTAAAGCATATGTCTAACTCTCCTACTGAAATCAATGAGATTTAAAAGTGCATAACGGGGACTGGATTATGTCTATTATTTTTACATAAATGGCTTCACTTTACAAATAAGTGCGAAGCTCTGTTCTACAGAAAATAACTTGTCACTGTGTATGCTTAATTTCACTTCTTAATTTTGGACAGGGTAATTATCTGGCTATTCTTGAACACAGTGCAACTTCTTGGTTTCTGCCATCATTAAGCCAGTGCCTATCCAAATGATTCAAAAGGGAAAGCCTGTGGCGCAGTGAGATGCTTTGCATGCAAAAAAGGGTCCCAGGTTCAATCTCTGGCATCTCCAGTTAAAAGGACCAGGTAATAAGTGATCAGAAAGGCTTGAGGCTCTAGAGAGCTGCTGCCAATCTGAGCAGACAGTCCTGACCTTGATAGACTAATGGTCTGACTCAGTATATGGCAGCTCCATATGCACACTGTGATGTTGTGAGCTGTTTGCTAACCATGATGATGTGATTTGGGTTTTATTATTTTTTTTGCAGGCATCTTTTGCACTATTTCCCTCTGTACTTATGCAGCAAGTGTCTCCTATGAACTAAACCGCCTACCCAAATTCATCTACGGTCTTCCTGACGATGTTGAACATGGATACAGCTGGTCTATATTCTGTGCTTGGTGCAGTTTAGGACTCATAGTAGCATCGGGATGTCTTTGCACCACTTATCCCTTCATTAGCAGGAAAAAGATTAGCCATCTAAAGTCAACCAGAGACTCTTCTGTATGAGTGCTTATTGGGAGATAATCTTTTCTTGAGAGGCGGCAGGTGAAGAGTAGGATTTACCAGGGAGCTAAATTCACAACTCCAAGCACAAAAGCCTGACCCTTAAAATGCCAAACATTGTGTCTTACTAGTCAGGAAACAAAAGGGAGTTCTTCTCTACCTTCAGGGTGGCTGAAACAAAAGTTCAGACAACAAAAGTTCTTGTAGAACGGACAATGCAGCACATTGTATATGCACACATCATAAATGAGTTGGGGCAGTTCCCACTCAGATAAGAAAACTGTGTTAAGAATTTAGGGCTGTTTTTATTAATTAATCGTTATTAACATAACAAATCACAACTGCCAAACACCCAGTGGTAAGAATATCCCCTTATGGTCCTTAATCAGTCTTAAACTTGAATTTAGACTATTAAAATTGTGAAATAAGTCTTCAGTCCTCTTCAAAGTATCAGTAGTCATTGCCAAGTGGTAGCATGTAGGAGCCTTTCTCAAAGAGTTCTGATATTATGAATGACTGGGAGGGCAGTGGACATTAGAAACAGTATAGAAGGCGGCACTGGACTTCCAGGAGAGGGTAAGAAAGCCATTTGAATTTTGCCAGCCAGTCCTGTTGGTGCAAGTTTAAAAAAAAAAAAAGATTGTTCTGTGATAGCAACATTCCTGCTCGTAACATATCTCCTTGAAATATCTTTTGTATTTCAGAATAAACCAAATGGCATATGTAAACAATGTGAATGAATGGGATGATGCTTGTTAGTACCGTTGGAAGTAATACCTATTGTAATGTCCTCAGCCTTTGTTTTAAAAAGTTCAGCATTAAAAGTCTCCTTTCTGTTATCAGACTTGGAAATGTATTCTTCTTAAACATAGGTACACGTTTAAAAGAAACACACACATAGCACACACAATCAGGAATGAAAGGCTCCATCACCTTCAGGCATATGGTTACACACTATTTCAATATTTCTGAAGATGTCACTGGAATTTCTCAGGGCAAGGTGCTTAAGTTGAAGAGGGGAGTGTAGATGAGAATGCAAAGGCCGGCTCAGAGCTTAGGTGCAGAATTCAAATGCTGGAGTCAAATGGCACTGTCAGAGCATGGGGTTAGTTTCAGGAAGGGCTGCTTAGTTTCAGGAAGGTTACCGTATCAAATGCTTTCAATACCGTATGCTGGCCTTAAAATGTCTCATCAGATACAGAAACATTCACAGAACTCCTCACCCCCTGTTGCTTATTCTCAGCTCCCGGCACAGAAAGACCTTGCCTTCTTCACTATTAGTAGCACACACTGCACTGTAAGTCAATGAAGACCAAACTAACCATATAACAGGATCTCCCAGTGTACACTATAAAGCAGCTGCAGAACTCCCCTATTTATACAGGGGCTGGAGCAGTGAGATTGGGGGGGGGGGTTAACTCCTTTCCCTACATATTCTCCTTGATGCGAATCATTCACACAAACACACCCCATCTCCTATAAGTACCTGTAAGTAAAAAAGACAGGTACAATATCCCCCTAGAACCTTTGAGGTGGGGTGGGGGCTCGAGTCCTACTGGAGCAACAGCAAAGAGAAAGGGCTACTCTACCTCAGTGATACAGCCCCTGTCCAAGCCCCCCCCCCAGGTTAAGTTACACATCAGGAGATGGAATCACAGATCCTAATGTGCAATGTGGAACAAATGTTTATGACACTGTTTTGAAAGCAACTGCTTGTTCGGCTGCAGCCATGCCCAGAGCCCAAATATGTGACTACAACCAAGAGAATTCCTCAGCTGCTGGCTTGCTTGTTGTTTTTCCCATATTCTGCCAGCATAAATGGCACGTGGGCCTTACTGTAGATATAGTTGGGCTACTGCAGTGTCGTTGTGCGAGCAATAGGTCTGAAGTCTGATGGCAAAAACAGGTGGGATGAGCAGCCACGTCACGAACACTTATTCTGCTGACCACTTGTACAGTATACCCCACCATACAAGCAGTATACATTTTAAAACACACTGTCCCACATAGGGTTAGATCTGGCCCAAGGGTATCCAGCTACCGACCGTTCCTATAGGCCTTTGGGTTTCACTCAGACTATGGAAGCCAGTGCAACTCTGTTGAGCTTACCAAAGCCCAGCTACTCCAGCTCCACATGATCTGAAGCACAAGCTTTTATGTGTACAGTCATTCTGATGTGCTGCTGCTAGCTTTTTATACTTGGAAGGCCTGCTAGTACTTTCTTATATTTGCACATGAATGCATCTGTTTTGCCAAGGCTGACTTCAAAGGATTGTACCAATACGAGAGAACCAAGAATTGTCTTTGTATTGCTGATGTCTTCTTTCCCTGTACCTTGAGCTACTGTGTTACCAGTTTTCTCCTGGGTTTTTGACTCAAGGGATACCACTGCACATTCTGCATAGTCACTCGTAGATTCTATAGAGTTGTGATTCTCAGTCTCAGTACCACTGGAAACGCCACCGTTGATGCGGTTATGGAGTTCTCGACTAAGCAACAGCACAGCAGTCCCTCCAACACAAAGCACCCTGAAAAACAGCAAGGGGTACTATTAATACACCTTGGGTGAGCTCCCCATTTTAAATAATATCATTCCTGTAACGCTTTTCACTGCATAGACCACTGTGCAATTCTTCTCCCATTTCCCCCCATTTACCTTCACAATAGTTTTATGATACATATTATGATAACCTATCCAACTGAATCACAGGATGTTAGCTGCCAGAATTCCATGAATGTAGCTGTCAGTGACCATGAATCTCTTCCTTGTGGCTGCCAGCCATATCCCAGCATATGAAACACCTCTCTGTGAACTGCAGAGAGACAGGAGGAGGGAGGGGACTTGTGTGTCATCCGGGGGGGGGGGTAGATCCCTCCTCATGAGGAGACCTCTGAAGTTGTGTGGGGAACAACATCCACAGCACAATCCTAAACAGAGTTATACCATTGTACGCCCACTGAAATTTAATTCCATACTTACAAGAACTTGCAAATAGCGAGTGGGATTCTTGTTGCCTTGCTTCTGAATGTCTGCAAAACCCAATTTGACTCCTCCCTTAAATCCTTCAATTTGCCACAGAAGACATAGAATTATGCAGCATATCCACACAGAACTATCTGCCAGGAACACCTTTTAGGTCTACAATTCTCACTGCATGCTGTAGCCCACCCTCTCCTTTTCTGCCAGTCTCTCCAAGGTGTTTTCATATAACTCCACTCAGCTCTTCTGAGTTCACTAAGAGCTGCTAGCAAAGTGCTTTTTCTACTCCTGCTTTGAAACTATCACTTTTCAACAAATTTGGTAATAGAAACAACTCCATTTCCTTGTCTTCAGCAATGACGGGTATTTAGCTTGCAAAGCACTAGTAGCCAGACTGGGATACAGGTTAGAGTTAGCCACTGAAACTCACGTGCCTTTCAATTTCTTGCAAAACATCTGGTAGTAACTTCATGTCGTTTGTTATTTTGAACTTCTTACCAAATGGAATGTCAGCAAAAACAACATTGATGCTTTCTGGAGGCAACGGCAATTCTAGAGATAGAAGTCATAAATTTCAGCTGGGCTGTGATTAAGGCAGAACTGCAGAATGTAACTCCTTAACAGTGAAATGCTTAAGCACTGTTTTCTTTTGTTTACAAAAAAACCCTGATGTACTTCAAACCTTGTTCTCACAACACTGAGTATTCATATTGGAGTGATAACATTGTATGAATGGACAGTGTTCTATTCCCTCTTTGAAAAAGTTTTCTAGAAACAGATTTGTAACAGGCTGGCAGGCTCCATCAGCAGTAGAATGGATATTTCCTTTCAACAGTCTTCAGGTATGCACTTTTGAAACTAAATAACTTGGAACACTCATCTGTTGCACTTTGAAATTAGCAAACTGGAAATGTTTATTTGGCACAAGCACTTTATGCCATTAAGAAATTTGGATGAGAATGGAAATGCTTACTGACTGAGCAATATATGGATTATGATCTGGTTGGTTGTCGTATGAATTATGTTAATATTAATACAGATTGTGTACAAGAGTATTAATTGTAAAACACAAATACTATATTTGGTTCATAGTAATTTGTTCATGGATTTCTTGACAGACAACAAGAAGAGATGCCGATTTAGACAATCATTTGCAAGGGAGTTTATTTACCATACTTTTATCCTGCTTTTTCAGCCAAAACCGACTCTCTAGTTGGCTAGCAAGAGTTAAAATCCAAACACAAATTATATTAAAGTTCAGTCATAACAAAGGGAGGCCTGCCCACTTCCTCTCCTCCCTGTGACGGTTCTATCAATGGCTTATGAAAGCTGAAGGGAGGGTTTAGCTAGAACTGGAGACAGGCATGATGGAGGGATGCCTGAGGGGGCCACTTCCTGTTCTTTTTTAGAGGGCCTCATCAATAGCAGTTGAAAGCAGAAGAAGAGATGGATGCAGACACTTGAGAGTTGAAAGTGGTTTGAGAGCAGAAACTCTTCCTGTGCTTTACGCTCATTTATTCTGTCCTGTCACAGCTGGTTAAACAGGTTTTTGGAAGTTATTGAACCAATACAGATGGAAAAGGAATAAATGTACATACCACACCCCTCCCTCTGTCGGAGTGGGTGTGTGGTGGGGGGGGGGGGGGGCTGGATAGTATGGCTTAGCTCTAAAAAGATACAGATCAGGTGGAGATTTTTTTTGATGTGTCAAATAAAACCTTTGAGTTTGGTTATTAAAAGCATAGATATTCTTTCATCCGTACTGGATACACAAGTGACTAAGTTTTAACACATTCTTCGACCATATGATATGTATGCATTTTTGCTTTGAGGAAAAATCAAGCCTCTGTGTAGCCTAGCTTCTAGATTGATATTTGATAATGCACTTTGTACTGGGGACCTTTCCAGTATCTGTTCTGGGAGAAGAATCTGGACAACGGACACTGAAGCTATGGAACCCCAGATGTCCAGGATGTGGCAGGAGAATAGTGGAAAACAAGCCAGAAGGAGAAAGGTGAATACTAGAGGAAAAGGGGGATTTCAGCTTGCTATTTGTCAGCTTGCAGTCTGAAGCACTTCTTTCACTAGTAGGAGTCTACCTTGTTTTATAAGGAAAAGAAGCCATCTGACTGTGCTACAGGGAGGGTCTCTCACTAGTGGGAAACATGGAACTTGCATGTTTCCCCAGAGACTCAATGTCCGATGCCAAGAACAGTGTCCAAATCCCAAACAGACACCCCATGATAAGGCCTCGGGCCAAGTGACCATAGGTCCTTGGAAGACCTTGACAACAAGCTGGTAAAGATCCAGAACTAGGGTAGGGGCTGTGGGTCAGTGGCAGAGCATCTGCTTGATACGTAGAAGGTCCCAGGTTCAATCCCCAGCATCTCCAGTTAAAAGGATCAGACAGTAGGTGCTGTGAAAGTCCTCTGCTGGGGACCCTGGAGAGCTGTGGCCAGTCTGAGTAGACAATACTGACCTTGATGGACCAATGGTCTGATTCATTATAAGGCAGCATCATGTGTAGTTGTATAACAAAGTTGGCCACGATGATTGTTTTTGATTGTTCTGACATTCCTGTGTCAAGTAAGCCTGTGGTAGGAGGGGGAAGATACCTTGATAAGGGTAGAAATAGTAGTAGCAGGGCCCCAGCAAGTCAGAGAAGGCCTCTGGCCTCTCTCTCTGTTCTTTTTCAGGTTATTTATTACCTCCCCTTCTGAGGAAGTCTAAAGAATGCTGGCATTAAACCTTCCCAACCTGACTGCTCCAATTAGATGAGAAGTAGTCAACTCATTCTATTGTTACATTGTTTTTGGCAACTGGCAAGATTATTGTAATCTTGTGTTTTGAAGAGTTAGCACTGAGGTAAAATGTGTTAGAATTTATTGCTTTTTTGGTGCTAGATCTCTTGGTTGAGGAACTAGCAGAGAATTTGTCTTTTAGATTTTTTTTAACTGTAGATGCTACTTCCTCTTGGTTGAGGAACTAGCGGAGAATTTATCCTCTTGGGTAGAGGAATCTGTAATAAGATGTTGAAATGAAAGAATGAACCTCCTTGCCTTAAAATCTTAATTGCTTTATAGCTGCAATAAAGTAGCTGAATAGTATTTTGGGTGGTGTCTCCTTCCTTTCAAATTTGGATTTTGGCTTCTTTTGAGCTGAAGATAAAAGATGTCTTGTCACTGAACGTTAACAACATTATAAATGAAGATAAACATATCAACAAGAACAGACGTCCAAAGGAAGGAAGTAGATTCCAACCAATTAAACAGACCTCACCTAAATATTAATTTTCCAAAGGCTCTAGTCAAGAGAAACCCATCTGAACTTCAAACCAAAAAGGTTACAGAGAGAGAGAGAGAGAGAGAGAGAGAGAGAGAGAGAGAGAGAGAGAGAGAGAGAGAGAGAGAGAGAGCGCACAAGCCAACTTTGCCTTTCTAAGTAGTTCCAGCTTAGAGAAGTGTCGTGCAGAACAAATCTGGGAAACCTGCCATCCTACTCTTCCCAACATAGTAGGTCCATAAAAGGTATGATCTGTGAGCCATATGTCAGTCTACCCATTTTGAAGGAAAAAATAAATAAAAAGATTTTGCTAGCCACAGAAGTCCTGTTTTTATTGCCCCTCACTTACAGAAAATATTTTAGTTAATTCTGCATTATTCAGAATTCTTACAGCTGATAGCCTTGCCAAGCTTTTACCTGTCACAGAAGCTTTCAGTAAGTCGATTTTACCCACCAAGCCTGCAGCTTTGATATTAGAATAAGCTCCTTGTAACTGTGAATCACTTATGTCAGTTCCCAAATAATGCACATTCTGAAGAGGAAACAAACATTTAGTTAAAACATTCTGAAAGGCAACAATGGTAAAACAGTGGCACTTTGGCACCACCCATTATTCCAAAACAAGAACAACTACAATATTATTACATGCGACACAATTCATTGTTTGCTTTTGGGGGAAGTACTAAACTAAAAACGAATTTCCAGAAATAGTGGTCTGGATGGAATCTGGATCCTAAACATTTCTGTTAACTGAAAGGTGAAAGGGGGGAAGGAGGGAGTTTTGTTGATTTTTCGTCTCCCACTGCAAACCTCCAATTCGTCCATGCTGTTCCAGGGGGGCTCCTTTCCCCCAAGAGCAACATTTTGGGAATCTCTTGAGGTGTGGAAGTTTTGTTGTACTGATGGAAATCCCTTTAGTCAATGGGGATTTACCATGAGACCCAAGCCCTATTTAGAAGCTAGGATTTCACCATGGCTGTTGCGTGCTAAAGGATCATAGCGATACTGTCTGGAAAACACACCATATTTGGCTTTTCCCACATAGATGTTTTGCTCCAGCTTGGCTTCCTTACAGCACTGCTTGTCCTGCTTCTATGATTTCTTCATTTTTGCTGTGATATTTCCCAAACCTGGTTTTGGTACAATCCTTTTAGAAACACAGAAGCAAAGTCACTTTGGACACTGCTGACAGAAAGATGTCCCACAGATGCCATATACAGTTTCCTTTCTTCAGTCCCTACAGCAGCTATTCCCACCCCCACCACCTGAGGCCTTTTTATCAATAAAGGATATACTAACATAACATTATTGCAACCAAGCACTATATGCCACCTTTCTTTTTTTTTTTTTTTTACAAAGTAATTCAATAGCCCTTTTTGTTGGGGAGTTATACGGAGAAAGGTACTACATGTTCATTATACTATATATATATATAAGTCCAGTGTATTGGCACTTTCCAGCTCTCCCATTGGCTGTGCTGAGTGCTCCATCAGCCATTGGCCCATCAGCCACCACTCAAGAGTACTCGCATGCCATTGGCTGAGTGCTGGGTCTGCACCTCTCCCTCACCCACTGTCAGCTTGGCCATTCCCTGTCTGAATAAACTGGCAAAACTGTTCTGTGGCTCACTTTTCCCTCAGTGGCTATTGCTAGGCAACCAAGCTTGGTTCTGTCAGTAAAAAGCCAGGGGCAGGAGGCCCTTTCCAGGCCTACTTTGGCCTTTGTGAGGATCTCATTGGGGCCAGTCCTGACTAGTGTTGCCAGCTCCAGGTTGGGAAATTCCTGGAGATTTTGTGGTGGAGTCTATAGAAGCCAGAGTTTGGAAGGGGAGAGGCCTCAGCTGAACAGAATGCTACAGAGTCCACCCTCCAAAGCAGTTATTTTCTCCAGGGGGGGACCTAGGCTTCTTGCTGTGGAAGCTGAGTGGGTGATTTCGGACCAGTCACAGAGTTTCAGCCTAACCTACCTTATAGGGTTGTTGTGCAGATCAAAAGGGGGAGAAGAGAATGATGTGAGTTGCTTTGGTCCCCACTGCAAAAATTGTACTTTTCCTCCTGGGGAACCATTGCTACCAATCTCCAGGTGAGGGCTGGAGATCACTCAGAATTACAACTGCTCTCCAGATGGCAGAGATCAGTTCCCCTGGAGAAAAGTGTGGACCCTGTGTCATTATACCCTGCTGAAGTGGCCCCCCATGACAGCCAGTGTGACATTGATGGTTGGCTGGGAAAGACAACTCCCAACTCCAGTTTGGGAAATTCCTGGAGATTTGAGGGGTGAAGCCTGGAGAAGGTGGGGTTTGAGGAGGGGTGGGATCTCAGACAGGTACAATGCCACAGACTCCACCCTCCAACCCAGCCATTTCCTCATGGGGAACCATTGTTGCCAATCTCCAAGTGAAAGCTGGAGATCACTCAGAGCTACAACTGCTTTTCAGATGGCAGAGATCAGTTCCCCTGGAGAAAATGGTGGACTCTGTGTCATTATACCCTGCTGAGGTCACCACAGCAAATTGATGCCAAGTGCCCAAGGCCGGAGCACCTGCCCGGAGTCTCTTTCTAGAGCTTGTTGTATTTATTTCCACAATGGGCCTTATTCCTAGTTTGTTATAATTCCACAAGGAAAAGGGCTAGAGGCTTACTTTAAAAAACCCCAAAACCCTGAAAGGTTCCCTGGTGGTGGGAGGGGGGATGGCAGCCATGGAAGACAGAGACAAGCAAAATATGGGGAAAACCTCTGTGTGGATGCTCCATTGTCACTGCAAATACCTCTGCATTTACAGCAGCAATGTGAGCTGCATGGAGAATCATCTTCATATGGAAGCAGCCCTTATTAAAAGGACAAAACTTACAGGCCATTCAGTTGCAGCTTCCAGAAGTACTGTTCCCAGGCCACATGTAGGATCCAACACGAAGTCACTAGCCTGCAGAGCAAAACAAGAACAAAAAACTGACACATACATAGGGTTACACCGTCTGTAAAGTCAAGAGAAGTTAACTCTCAGTCTCCTGAGATAAAAATGAGCCTATGCATTCACACCAGCTGAAGAAAGTAAGAGGCAATGAATAATCTGGGGTTACTTGAACCAAGAGGTCAAAGTTGTGCCTGGTGCTGTTCATTTTGGATGAATCCAAGAATACGGATATAAAATACAGCCTGTGCCACTATGTGAACAGAATAATAAACTAGGGGCCTTGGGAACACATATTAGCCACAGAATTAATTAATCAATAGCTTTGGGCAAGTCAGTATCTCCAATCCTCTGGCACATATCTGTAAAATTGGCCTAAAATCTCCATAGAACACTAGGATAGAGTAGAAACTAATTGTAAAGCATTCTGCATAATTGACACGCATAATAAATTATTAATAATAATGCCAGCAAGGTTGTAAGAATTCTTACAAAGGAGAAGAGGGCGATGAGGATGATCAGGGGTCTGGAGACTGAGCCCTACGAGGAAACGCTAAGGGCCTTGGGAATGTTTAGTTTGGAGATTGAGGGGGGACATGATTGCTCTCTTTAAATATTTGAAAGGCTGTCATTTGGAGGAGGGCAAGGAGCTGTTCCAGTTGGCAGCAGAGGATAGGACCCGAAGCAATGGGTTTAAATTACATGCAGAAAGGTATTGGCTGGATATTAGGAAAAACATTTTCACGGTCAGTGTGGTTCAAAGGTGGAATCAGCTGCCTTGGGGGGTGGTTAGCTCCCCTTCACTGACAGCTTTCAAGAAGAGGCTGGACGAATATTCGTCAGAGATGCTTTAGGCTGGTCCTGCATTGGGCAGGGGGTTGGACTAGATGGTCTGTATGGCCCCTTCTAACTCTATGATTCTATGAAAGTTCTCCTACCTTGAAATGCAAGCATCTAAAAATATGTGACACATGTAACCACCATAAAAATGCTAAATGCACGGCAATTGTGAGAAATCTGCAAGGCAAATTTCTTCATGTATATTTCAGTAATCCTTACAGCTATCCTACAAAGTTAAGTATTATTTTCATATTTATCCCAAGAACTTAGGCAGAGCCACAATGGCTTCTTTAAGGCAGAATCGAACTACCCTCTATGATAGGTTCGAGTCCTGAAGCACCTTAGAGACCAACAAGATTTTCCAGGTATGAGCTTTCGAGGGTCAAAGCTCCCTTTGTCAGATTTGACTCAAGTTTAGCTGTTCTACTGCAGAACAAGACAGCTACCCTTTGAAACTGTCTGCAAGCTATAAGTTTATTTTAAACATTTCTCCCACCCCTCTGCAAATTGAACTGCTGGAGTTATTTTTCCAAGGGCAGAAAACAGTGTGGGTGTGGATGCTTTAGCCCTTTCCCGCCCTTGCTGTTTTCTTGCTGAAAAGCTCATCCCGATAAAAGTGCAGTTTGACACGGAGAGAGATTGAAATGGTGGATTTCATGATCCACACTCTTACCATGCTTCACCAGTCCTCAATGAAAGTTTAAAATTATCCTACTGATGGGGTGATTTCCCACAAGCGCTGCTCCGTGCTCACTCTTCTCTTTGGCCCGATGGTACGTGTCAATTTCACACAAGCTGCTGCGCGACCGCATTTTGCCCCGCAGCTTCGTGCAATTTTCCCCGCGTCTACTCAATCCTGTTTATTGGTGATTGAGTACACGCGGGGAAAATCGCACAAAGCTGCGGGGCAAAATGAGGCCGCGCAACAGGTTGTGTGAAATTGACACGTACCATCGGGGCAAAAGGGAGGAGTGAGCACGGAGCAGCGCTTGTGGGAAATCACCCATGGACTCTTGGGAACTTCCCAGCATAGTTGGCCCTGCAGACAGTTTGTTCACTTACGTGGATTTCAGCAAAGGATGCCATGGCCCAAGCAACAGTAGATCGCAATCCGGCGGTTCTGACATATTCTCTGCTCGCTAAAGGAAGTCTGCGAACAGACACAGAATATACCTCACTATATGTATGACAGATTCAAATTTAGGTCTGAAAACAAAACACCACCCTGATATTGATCAGAAGTATAATATTGATCAGAGGCATAAACATAGACATGGGTACTAATGGGGAAAGGTACATTCTTGAACAGTGGGGCCAAGTGCTGGGGGGGGGGGTCAACAGTGGGAGGGCTTCTAATGTCCTGGCACCACTGGTGGACCTCCTGATGGCACTGGTATTTCTGGCCACTGTGTGACACAGAGTGTTGGACTGGATGGGCCTTTGGCCTGATCCAACATTGGCTTCTCTTATGTTCTTAAGGCCGTGCAATTAATGGGCCACATTTCCAGATCATCAGCTGATGACCTCATAGCAAGAAAAATAGTATCATCATAGAGATTAATGTCTTATCAGGGACACATTGGAGCTTTGCATAAAAAATCTGACAGAGCCACTATTTCACACTGCCCTTCATGGCTTTCTGGGTCTAATATTGACCATCCTCTGGGACCACAAGTGTATCAATTTATTTGACTACTGAAATAGTACCTTCATGTAATCCATAAAAGTTTCATGCCCCAACACAGTTGTTAGTCTCAAGACGCCTTGACTGTATTCTTACAACACACCACTATGGCTACTCCTCACTATTCATTATTGTGATTATTGGATTGTGAGTAGCCATGTTTTAATAATAAAATATCTACCTGAAAACAGGGATCCCAATCACAGAATAAATATCATTTAGGTGAACAAAGATCTGAAAGGCAATGAAAACTTCCATTAGCATTTTCTGCAAGTTAACGTAATGTGGCACAGGTGGCCATCCTCCCACCCAAAGGCCAAGGGTGCAACCTACAGTTCACACAGAGGAGGAATGGGAGGACACACGGGGGGACAACAAGAGGCCTGGATCTTACCCCATGAGGTCCAGAGAGGGGTAGCTCAGCAGGAGAGGTTGACCTTGAGGACGGCCAACTCATCTATCCTGGCAGGGTCCAAGTGGGAGCAGCGGGGGCTGAGAATGTCTCCCAGGTGGGAGAACACCCACTCACTGTGGACACTGGAAAGGACAGGAGAGGAGACTCAGGGCCACACAAGAGAGGTCGGGCCAGATGCAGCCTTACATGACCAATACTCTACGGGATTGGCGGAGGCGGGCTCAGGGGACTCAGCCTGCAGCCTCCACAGTTCTTTGAAGAGCTCATGCTTCCATTGGATGAGCTCTGCATTCCAGAGAGCAATGCTGCCTTTTATCCGGGAGTCATAGATACAGGCCAGCTTGTACTGGCAGAGAGGATGCAACCTGGTGGTGATGTCCACCTGCAACCTCTGTGCCAAGTCCCGGACCCATGGGAGAACAGGTGTCCCCTCAGGGCCCAGCTCCAATGTGGAGCATGTCGGTGGTGTCCTGGAAGGGCTTGAGGATGACCTCCTCTTCATGGAGATTACATCCTGCACTACGCTCTTCTGCTCCACCAAACGTGCAATCATGGCATAGGTGGAGTTCCAGCAGGTGGGTAAGTCCCCCTTCCTCTTGTACAGCAGATGGGCAGACTTGATGCTGTATGAGAAGTGGGTGACCAGGTGCCAGCAGGTCTCAAGCAAGGACTGTATATCACCGGGTGAAGCATGTGCATCAGACAAATGATGCCCTTGAGGTGCACAGCCTTCACCGCTGCCAGCATGCCCATGCACATGTACAATGTTGCTGCTGCCTACCCACTCCCTCAGGCTACTCTGTATCATGGTGATGTTTTGTACCATGTGGTCTGCATCCATCCCCTGCGGATGGAACAGAACCACTTTGTAGACTGGTGGCAGGACTGTCCCCTCCTGGGGCCTGGGCTGTGCCCCGACAGTCCAGACACAGAGGTTCCTCTGGTAGCCATTCTGCTGGCTGCTCCAGAGGTCTGCCGTGAAGTACACAGTTCCTCTGATGTTGACAAGCTGGTCTTATTATTATCTGACACTGAACCGTTTTTTGAACCGCTCGTCAGTTATAGAGTGTCTTTTTTTGCCATGGCCACCAAAAAAGTCAGGGCTAAGACTGTAGTTTCAGAAAATTAACCTTTTTATGACTAACCGGACTTATTTTTTTTACAGGTTTATTGTTTATAACATTAATAGCTGGTCTGTATCACTGTTTTATCTATGTATGATTAAAATTATATCTATCTTAATTCTGTATTGTGACGGCCTTTATAAAATTCTGGATATACAATTCTGCCTTGCACTCTGGAGAGCTCAGCCTTGACCACTGCCACTACAGAGTGGTGCATAGTGGGCAAGACTTATTGGCTCATGGTCCCCCACGAGGGGATGGAATACCAAGAAGCCAGATGCTGCAGCAGCCAGCGAAAGGCTACATCTTTCAGGAGGGAGAAAGGCTGGCCATCCATAGCAATCATCTCACCAAAAAGGGTGGCCTGTCTTGATGTTCCACCCACCACACCCTGAGGGCAGGGAGCCTTTCTTGGTGGGGCCTCCTGCTCCCTCTCTGCTTTTTCCCTGCTGAGAGGGACTGAGTTTCTTCTTCCTCCTGCTGGCCGCCTCTCTTTCCTCCGTCAGCAACATAGTAGGGTGCACTTTTTGCAGGTGCCCACAGAGGAAGACAAGTATTAGGGGTTTGCACCCCTCTGGACATGGGCGTGGCACACCTGGCACTCTGCCACACAGGGGTCACTGGCTGGAAATGGGGCCCCAAGACTGAAGAAGCTGGGAGGGACAGCTGCTTTCTGGTGCTGGGAGGGGCCAGAAGGGTGTACTTGAGGCAGGAGCAGGAACAGGGAGTTGTGTGGAAGGGAAGGATGCTCCCCCCACTGCTATAGAGTCCTCCTCTCCAAAGAGTATTAGCAACTGCTAGTCTCTGGGCAGTGCTAACAACTCTTTTGCCTCTGTGTGGAGCCCTGGCACAGATTTTGAAAAGGTGTCTCTGAGACCCCTGGTCATGCCCTGCTAGGCACAAGCTTCAGTGGGCTGAGTTTGGTGCCCGGGGACAGGGGCCTGTGGTACGGGTGTGTGTGTGTAAGTGGAGGATGTCTTCCCCAGCCCCCAATGAGCACCCTTTGCACTCATTTTCACCCTCATGGCACAGAAGGGTTCACAATAAGGAGGGTATAAAATGTGGATCCTCAGCTGAGGAACCCACTAGCGAAGTCCCTCTGCTCGGCATTAGCAGAGTCAGGGCAGCTCAGAGCCCTGAGTCCACCTAATACCCCCAGACCCCAGCAGGGGAGAGGGGTTCACATTCAAAATGTGGGTCCTCAGCCAAGAAATCCACTAACTGAGCCCCTCCGCTTGGCATGAGCAAAGAGACAGGGTGGCTCAGAGCCCTGAGTCCACCTAACACCCCCAAACCCCAGCAGGGCAGAGGAATCACAATTAGGAGGGAACTTTAAAATGTTTAGAATGTTGAAATGCTTCATCTGTTTTTAGGATGATTTAAATTTATGTGTGTGTTTTATTCTGCTGTTAGCAGCCCTGAGCCAGCCTTGGCTGGGAGGGCGGGGTATAAGTCTAAATAAATAAATAAATAAAATAATGTGCTCTGCTGGTCTGCTTTTAACAAGTTCCCTGCCTTTCTGTGTAACTGCGTACAGCTGAGAGAGGAGAGGGTATGAAGCTGAGTTGAGGGCATATATAGCGTTCTGATCCCATAGAGAAAAATGGGAACTCTGGAGCTTCCGGTACGGCGCAGTGAGCGAGCAGGCATTCTTCGGCACTCCTGAATTGCCTGCTCCCCTTTTTGCTCCTTTGATGCTTTCTCGGCTTACCGGGGGCATTGCCCAACCTCCTGAGGGAGGTGGGTTAGCAGGAGGCTTCACTCGGTCACCTCCCGCACCTGGCAAGTGTGGGGGTGAGCCGTTTTTCGCCTCGAAGCAGGAGCGACCGAGGGAAAGAAACATGGCTCCCATGTTTTTCTTTAGCTGCGACCAGTTGTTTTAAAGATTGTTTCGTTCATGGGGGGGTTTTTTTATTCATCTTGCAACAAAAGAAACTTGTGAGTACGCAATTGCTCTCTTTACAATCTGTGATGACCCTCATTAAATGACTCCCACAAGATTAGCTCAAACGTTTGAAATGTATAAGCAGCCATGGAAAGGAACGGAGCAAGTGATAAGGAAATGGCGTTAATTGGGGAAAAGGAAGAAGACTCAGCAGCAGGAGAAGCAATATTAATTAACTTAGAAAACAGTGAACTTGGATATATAACCTTGGACCAATTCAAAGAAATTCTATTTAACGAGGTGCGGCAGGCAGCTTAGGCTGCCTGCAAAAATATTATTAAATATTTTTCTAAATAAAGACCTAGAATTGGAAAGCAAACAGAAACCAGACCTGGAAGAGAAGGAGGAGCCCCCACAATGTCAGAGTTCTGTGATTTTAGAGAAAGAACGAGACTGCCAAGATAAAAAAGCACAAGACTCATTTTGTATGGAGACGGAAAAGAAACGCTCCCAGATAAAAAGTCGAGTAAAGCATTTTGCAAAGCGAGCCAAGACAGTAGGATTTAGAGAGGAAATGCCCAAAAGCAACTTAATGCAGATATGAAGAAATGGAGTAAAAAGAAAATGAGACAATTTCCAAAGAAAAGGACTAATGACTGCAAAGCACATGTGCCAGATCTGATTAAACAGGAAAAACAAGATGGAGCAGATATATATGAGTATAAAGAGGAGAAGCATCAAGAAATGATCATAAAGAAGAGGGCGCTTCAGGAAACAGGGCTGCCATCTGTATTAGATGGTAACATAATTCTTTTTCTTTTTTATATACCGAAATGTGGATGGTGTTAAAGGATGGAAATGAATGTACTGGACTAAGGCATCTTGATTTATTTTGGAATGATAATAAGAATTTTAGACCTCTGTGCAGTTTAGTGGTTAAGTACTTTTGGGCTATCTTCAAAGCTTATTTCTGTTGTTGCTTAAAAGGATTATTTTTGTTAGCGTAATACAAAGAAACTAAGTACCGTAAGAAGGATTGGGGTAGTCTATTAATAACTTTTACCTGAAAAAAAGAAAGTGAGTGGTAAAAATTAATTTATATCTGACTCTAGATCATTAATTTCGAATATCTGATTTTTGGGGCTAATTATATGCTTGGATACTCCCCAGTAAATGGTTATATACACCTGAGTTATTTCTAAAATTTTATTTCTAATGTTGTTTACAGGGGTTATTTTTGCCATTATAATGTAAAGAAATGAAATAGGACTAAAGTTGTGAGTTGTAATTTGTTGTTAGAATATATTCTGATTTATTCTGGAATGATAATAAGAACTTTAGACTTCTGTGCAGCTTAATGTTTAAGTACTTTTGTGTTATCTTCAAAGCTTATTTCTGTTGTTGCTTAAAAGGATTATTTTTGTTAACATAATACAAAGAACTAAGTACTGTAAGAAGGATTGGGGTAGTCTACTAATAACTTTTACCTGAAAAAAAAGAAAAGAAAATGAGTGGTAAAAATGAATTTATATCTGACTTTAGACCATTAATTTTGAATATTTGATTTCTGGGGTTAATTATATGCTTGGACACCCCCCAGTAAATGGTTATATATACCTATTTTTAAATTTTTATTTCTAATGTTGTTTACAGGGGTTATTTTTGTCATTATAATGTAAAGAAATAAAATAGGACTAAAGTTGTGAGTACTAATTTGTTGTTAGAATATATCAAATATATGGTTAAGATTGGGAAATAAGGTTATGGACCTGTTGGGGCCTGGTTAAACATTCAAGAAATTTTTGCTGAGAAGACTATTGAAGAACTCAGCTGTTGTTGATATCCGCTGAATTAAATAAAAGAAGATAAGGTGATAGGTAAGTCTAAGAACCTTTATATTTTGGGTTGAAAAGTAGATTGATAGATTATGAGAAATATGCGTTGATTTATAGTGGAAAAATACATAAGATATGAAGAAATATTTTAAAAAGTTAAGTTTGACTGTTGCAAAGATGTTGAAAAATGTAATTTTTGGTTGGGTATTTGTTTATCTGTGTTTGTTATGTCTTTAAAATTCAATAAAGAAATTATACCCCCCCAAAAAAAAGGGAACTCTGTTATTGGCAGCCAGCAGTGCTTTGGAGGGCTCCTATTAGTGTTTCCAAGGCTGGACAATTCTGCCCTTCCCATTGCCTTGGAATTTTGTAAACAGTTTAATTAAGCAGAGACAATCTGTCTGGAAATATATCCATTCACGAACCGCCATGAACAGCACCAAAGTTTGTGAAATGTTTGTCCTGGGAGCCTCTCCATGAACATTGCTTCATGAACCATGAACCAGCCAAAACTCATGACAAACTTTAGTTTGTGAGCCAGTTTGTACTAATCCCTATCTGTGAGGGGTGACAAGAAGTGAAATTTCTGATCTGTATGGACTCCTGTCCCTTACAAAGCAAACAGCAAAGGAAGGAGGAAAATGTACACCAGGAAAGTGTCACAAAGAGAACGTTGAGCCATCTCTCTTCACAGTAGGGTTGCCAAGTGTGGATTCAGCCGCAGCGGGGGACTCCCGGCTGGCGGCTGGAGCACCGCATCCACATTGCCCGGAAGTGACGCGGGCACGCCGGGGGTGGGGCCATGACCATCCGAGGGAAAACCATAGAGTTTTCCCTTGGATGACCGTGGCCCCACCCCCAGCATGCCCATGTCACTTCCGGGCGACGTGCACATCAGGGTGGAGTTCCCCTCAGGGCCCGATCTGCCGGCGGCAGGGAACGGGCCTCTGGGGCGGGGCTTTCGCCGCCCCCCGGGGGAACTTGGCAAGCCTACTTCACAGTCTTCATTTAAATTACTCCCTCCCCCAGAGCTAGCTGCTAAGACTACAAAACCCCAAACCAAGCCAACTCTCACCAAGCAAATGCTACGGTTTCACACTCTCTGCAAACTCCCTTCCTCCCTTCCAGAGCCTATGAATACATCTTGTGCATTTAGTTCATGTACAGTGCTTGGTATATTTTAATAAGGAGGATAAAATATGATTGATTGGAATTGGCTTTCATACTTTCAGAATTCCATAACTGGTAATTGGTGAAGTGTCTTTAGTACATTAAGCATCCAGAGATGGGGGTCAATAGCAATAGAGCAGACTGTATCCTAATGTTTTGTTGTGTTAAACTCTCTAAAGGCACTTAGGTCTTACGACTGCTGAAGCCAAGAAAATGGATTAGATGGAATCACTAGTTTGATTCACTGTGGTTGTTCACAGAGGAACTGGTGGATTTATGGGGAAATTCAGTTATATCAGTATAAGACCTTTATTTCGTGTTCTGATGCACAAGGCCCCCATCCAGGTCCTTTACAAGCTCACAAAATTGCACTCCTATGCAGAGTTACTCAGGTCTAAGCCCACTGATATCAATCTGCTTGGACTGGAGTAACTCTGCATAGGAGTGCACCATTAGACTCTGAGGAAGGCAATGCCCAAGGCCTCTAATGCTTCAGTTCAGTACCTCTATACCAGGATTTCTCAGATCTGCCTTCCATCCAAAATGCTTTGTAAGAGCTATTCCAATTATTCTTCCCATCACCTGAAAAGGAAAACAGAGATACCTGGGTGGCTAGCTTGAATAATAGGTCCTCATACAAGTACTTGGGGTGTGTATCAGAGAACTGAGAAGCCAAAACTACATATTTGACCCAGGGCACACTGACGTAAGTTCTACTGAGTTTGGGGGGGGGGATAAGGATAGGCGGAGGGAGAGAGGATGAAGGACAGGCCATGAAGCAACTGGATTAAAAGACATTAAGGCAGAGTTTGGGTTACATGTCAGAAAAGCTTCCTACTCATAAAACCAGTTGCGTAATACAGAACAAGGCATCTACAGAGACTTCAGCATCTGCTCCTTGAAATGGCTTATACATCCCTGCTAATAGCTACACACAGCTATGAACGATACAGGGTAACTGTAGCAAAAATGTGTCCCTAAGTTTCTGGGTAAACTGGCAGTCATCTCCATGATTGATCCTTAGCTTATGCCAGCAGCTGTGATCACAGAAATGGCTTCTTGCACACAACTGCATGAAGGAATTGGTCGGTGTGAACCAGGAGTACATTTTTAAACAATGAAGTCCACATAGACATTTATCATGACTGCTTTGTGGTACAAAACTTGTATTAGAGATCCTCGGCTGGTGCTTAATACACTGGTATTTGATCATCAGATGTTAGTTCCACTTTCACAGATTTAATACCTTTTCTGGAATTTTGAAATAATGATTTTTGGAATACCTGTGCAGGAAATATTTTAGCAAGTGCTCCGCTACAGCGGCAAGACACGCGGAAGCTGAAGCTGCTGCCGCCCTCATTGCATTTCTTTTGGATACCTTCATAGGTCTTCTCTAGAAATAATTTGCTTTCAGACAACACATTGTCTATATCAGCTTCAGATATGTCACATCTCTCTTGGTTTTCTACTTGACTTTCAGCAGAAATAGTCTCTAATCGTTGTTCTCTCTTCTGTCTTTTGTTGTTTGTACTGCCGTCTTCTTCTGATTTCCTTTTTTGAGAATCCGGATAGTCCTGACTTGCATTTTCTGGTTTCAGTTCTTGACCATGAAGACTTTTCCAAAGAGTAATAATATCCAGCCAACTCTTGGAACCTTCATTTACAAGTTTCTGAATGTCATGGATTACTCTTCCTAAAACAGAAGCACATTCTTAATTCACTCAGTTAAGGCTTTAACATATACTCACAATTTTTAATCACATATAGAAAACCCTGCACAGCAGTTTTATAGTAGAATTCACCATTCTGGGGGACTGTTTCCACAACCAGCCACATGTTGATGGAGGAAAATGCTAGATTTCCTGCATAACCATTCTTGAGTCTTAGTCATTGCCTTTGTACTTCAAAGATGTGGCAAATTTGCAAGTATGGCTCAGCGTTTAAGGTAAAACCAGAAGAAAAACTTCAGAGGAAGCATAAGTTGCAATTCTATGCAGGTTTACAAGTCCCACCAAAAGCATTAGAACTCATCCCTATGTAAATTGTGCTGTTAATTTTAAGTGGCCATTAAGCTATTAAAGATGGGCCATGACAGCTTGGTAGTAGACCACTCTTTGCATGCCAAAGGTCCCAGCAACTCAAAAAAGGATCAAATGTAGCAGCTGCTGGAAAAAACCTCTCTGCTTGACACCCTGGAGAGCTGTTGTAAGTCACAGTGGACAGCGCTGAGCTAGGTTAGTGGTATTACTTGGTGATCAAGTTTTTAGCTCTTTAGAAAACAACTGAATTTCAGTAATTACTGTTTGACTGAAAACATTTAATTTTTGATCAAGTAAATGGTGTTCAAAAGCAGTCAGAGAACTGCTTTCCAAATGGAGCAGACCAATCCATAAAAATTGTCTTTGTGAGCATATCAGAGTGATTTATTTTACCCATCCAATACAGGATGATGAAGTATGGCATTAAAGCTGCGATGTGTCACCTCAGCCTCCAGGAGCCCTAGGTCTACACCAGCTCAGCTGCATCCTGTACCACTGCACTAGCATAATTCCTCAACTGTCAGCAGTTACAAGCAGAAAGAGACTTTTGTAGGCCTTTCCACACAATTTTTATTCAAAGAGGAACATAAGCAACTTTGAGAAAGGTTGTGTGTGGACTTGCTATAAGAAGCCCCTTGCACTGGATTAATTTCTTTCAAGAAGCAGAGAGAAGCACTTTGTAATCACAGAGTCAGTACATCAGGCTGAGAAACTGTTAATTTTACAAGGCCTCTCAGTGAGCTCTGTAAGCTCCTGAACTTGGAGTACCCATATCCAACCTCCAAACTGCATCATACTTTTAACAAAGTACCCATATCCAACCCCCAAACTGCATCATACTTTTAACAAAAAAGGGTACAGTACAGTCCTCACCACAGAATAAAGACCCACCACAAACGGATAAGACGACAGTAGTAAATATAATACCTTTATTTTTAGAGATGGAAAGTGGAGGATATTTATTCAGCAGTAAAAACAACCGCTCCGCAGATTTCAGCTTCTTCAGGGTACGCAGCTCAGCACTGGCAGTAAAGAAGACTTTCCCCAATACATATTCCACCTTGACAAAGAACATACACTGCTGATATAATAAATCTGAAAAATACATTTTCTGGAAATGATTATACCTATAGCACAGTCGCGAAGAGTCGGACTCGACTGTGCAACTGAACAACAACAACAGCACTATGGCATACCCTCACAGTAAAAACAAAATAGGTTGTTACAAAACCTTAGCATTGTCTTTTGTTGACTTGGTTGGTATCTACTTGGTTAGTATCTTGGTTGGTATCTACACCACAGAAAGGAAAATCTCAAACACCCTTCTGCTGAAGCTACTGTAATAAGAAAGCCTTTGAGAGTGGGGAGATTTCTGCCTGCACAGGCGCTCATAACAAATCAGAGGATTCTGCACAAATACTTTTGTTTCTATGACCATGTTCTCAAAATGACTCAGTGCAAGGCTGCCTGCCTTTAACATTCTGAAATAACTGTGACACACTCAGAATGCTTTATAATATTTTTGGAAACAACAGTAGAGACTCTAATCTAGAACTCTGAGAATGAAGTAAGGAGTGATCTACAGTGTTCTCTGTACACAACAGAAGAAGAAGAGGAGATTGGATTGATACCCCGCCCTTCACTTGGAGTCTCAGAGCGGCTTACAAACTCCTTTCCCTTCCCCTCCCCACAACAGACACCCTGTGAGGTGGGTGGGGCTGAGAGAACTGTGACACAAACTGCTCTTTTTCAAGGACAGCTGTGCCAGAGCTTGTGACTGACGCAAGGTCACATCAGCAGGTGCAAGTGGAGGAGTGGGGAATCAAACTCGGTTCTCCAAGATTAGAGTCCGCACACTTAACCACTACACCAAACTGAAATTGATTAGATCTGCAGCAATAAACATTACACACCCATTTGAAAACAAAAGGCAGCACTAGGTTCTCCCCCATAATCGCATAATCCTTGTCCCTGCCCACTTTAGTAACTGACAGTGTCATCCTAAACATAATTATACTCTTCTAAATCCACTTAAATCAATGGGTTTAGAAAGGTGTAACTCTGTTTAGGATTAACATCAGTCAAGTGCCACAAAGATGTATCCTCCAGAATTTTTAGCAAGACATACAGAAATCCAACAAGTGCAGCAGCAGCAGCAGCTTACAAGTCAGTAACGTTATGTAATACTTAACCTGTGTAATGCATACTTATCGTACAACTTGTAAGTTCAAAGGAAACTTGTCATGGAAAAAAAAGTTAACAACCCAGCCCTTAGTTACACCTAGGGAGTGCAAAAATACAAAGTGTTCCTTCTCGTCTGAGATGAGGAACCCCACAGGTACTGAGCAGAAATGAGTTACCGAAGGTATGATTTCAGATATTTATAACGACTTTCTTAGATACACATCTATACAGATGAACAAACTGCCCCCGGGAGGGGTAAACTCGCTCCAGGCTATTTGACCGTCTGCATCCTCCTACCACTAAGCAGGCGGGGCTGATGTACGGCAAGGATACGGTTGTCCTGTACATGAAGTCAGGGGACCATGTATTTGGGGCAGAGGAGGTGGATCTTCTCACCTGCGTGGCACCCAGCCTAGCCTGCACCTCCTTGATCAGGAAGGGCTCCATCCCACGTCCGGCCGTACAAAAGTAACGGGCAGAGATCCCAGCGGTCCAGCGGGAGCCCGTGGTCTCCTTTGGCAGTGCTGGCGGTGACTGCCCTGTATCAGCCATCGCAGCCCTGCCGCCAGGAACCCAACAGCCAGGCGAAGTTCCTCCTTCCTGCTTCACAGGATGTGCCGCGATCTGTTGCCTCCTACAGGCCACGCCCCCAGGCAGGAGGCGGGAAAGACACCCCCCCCCCTGTTCTGGAGTTCTGTGGCTTGGCTGAGGATATCCTAGTTCGTGCTGCCTCCTTCCGTGAGAATCTGAGCTGGATGTAATCGGAGCCTTTGGCACCTCCGCACAGAACTTCGGAAGCAAGCCCTACGGAGAAGCTGAGCACAAAAGCAGCTTCCTGCCTTTTGAGCGTGTTTAGAACAGAGAGCGGGTTTGGCAGGCCTTCGTTGTGCAGGACATTGGGATGCCAGCTCAGGGCTGGGAATTTCCTGAAGATCTGGGCGTGGAGTCTGGAGAAGGGTGGGATTTGAGGAGGGGAGGGACCTCTGCAGGATAATGGAGAACTCCCCGAAACAGCCATTGTCTCCAGCGGAATTGATCTCTGTTGTGCGGAGAGACGTTATAATTGCAGGCTCCACCTGGAGGTTGGCAACTGTAGCACCAAAGCTGTAAATGTTTGCCAAGGACTGGCTCAAAAGAGGTTTAGCAGCTGGGGAAAACAGCTGGGGAAAGCTTTAGAATCCCCTCAAATGGGCTTAGCTAATTCTATGTATGTTTTACCCAGGATAGTAGAAACTTACATTTGGTACATATGAAACAAGCAAACTTCCATAGTGCTTTTGTGCATATCTATTCAGGATTTAAGCCCAATTAAGCCAGCTGAAGCTGAACCCGGCGAAGACAGAGGTCCTGCGCCTGGGTCCGGGTGGTATAGGATTGGGGCTCCCGCTCCGGGCACCTTTGGTGCCAGCTTCAGAGGTTAGGAGTTTGGGAGTGCTCCTGGACCCCACCTTAACGATGGAAGCCCAGGTGGCGGCCACTACCAAAGCAGCCTTTTATCATCTACGGCTGGTGCGGCAGTTGGTCCCCTTCCTTAGCCGCAGTGATCTGGCCACAGTGATCCATGCGACGGTCACCTCGAGGTTAGACTACTGTAACGCTCTCTACATGGGGCTGCCTTTTTTGCAAATTCGGAGGCTGCAGCTGGTGCAGAATGCGGCGGCCAGGTTGGTAGCGGGTGCCTCTAGATGGGACCACATCCAACCTGTGCTGAAAGCGCTGCACTGCCTGCCTATAGCATTCCGGATTCGCTTCAAAGTGCTGGTGCTTACATTTAAAGCCCTACATGGCCAAGGTCTGGCATACCTGAGGGACCGCCTTTCCCCACACAGGCCCCAAAGAGCACTTCGGTCAGGGTCACAACACCGCCTAGTGACCCCGGGCCCCAAGGAGGCCAGGCTTGCGGCCACAAGGGCTAGGTCCTTTTCAGTGGCCGCTCCTACCTGGTGGAATGAGTTCCCGGAGGAGATCAGGGCCCTGTGAGACCTGGTACAGTTCTGCAGGGCCTGCAAGACGAAGCTCTTCCGCCAGGCTTTTGAGTAGGAGCCGCCGCCGCCACTACCACCACCGTGCGACTGCAGAGCAGTTCCGCCGTGTCGGGCTGACTGGCCAGCTGAAATATTGTGGCCCATGGCATCCCCCCCTTTTTTTGACCCTATTGGGATATGCAATAGGGAGTAAGTATTGTAGTCATTATGTATCCTGTGAGATGTGCATTTTTGCCTAAACTGTTTTAACTGTTGACTTTTACTGCACTTGTGCCTTAATTGTTTTAACTTGTTGTATTTTTATCGCACTTTTGTGCCTGTGTAAGCCGCCCTGAGCCCACGTGCGGGGAGGGCGGGGTATAAATGAAATTAAATAAATAAATAAATTTTGTTCAAGCTTACTCCCAAGTAACTGTGTAGGATTATAGTTCACATCTACCAGATATAGTTGTTACATCAGCACCCATATAGTCTCTTCACCCAGAGAACAGATGTCAAAAGGCCAGGGGAAGAAGCAGCATGGATCAGACTCTGAATCTCACAAAGACATAATTGCTAAAATTAGCCAAAATGTAAAGTGAGGTATCCTTTTGCAAGAAAGTTCATCTTAAAAAGCAAACACGTTGATTAGCTGAGGTAATTTCGGATTTCTGCCACAAGAAATGTTCAGAAGAGCTAGATTTGAGTCTGGGTGCACTTCAGAGGTCAACAACATTTTCAGGATATAAGCTTTCGAGAGGTAAAGCTCTCCTTGTCATATTGGTCAGTGTTTGTGACAATAAAGGGAAAATGTTACAGAAGACATAAAGGGATTTTCTTAAGCCACATGTGTAACACATCCAAGTGAGCAATTTGGTCTCCTTCTGGAGTTAATTATAAGGGCAAAAACTCATCGCCTGAGCCCGAACACACCTGTAAGCAAATGTCCATGGATTGTACTAATCTCACAATCAGCTTTTGCCACAAACAAACACTAAGCAGGGATAGTCACTAAAATCTGCCTCCATTCCCAAGGACTGGAAGGTAGCTAATGTAACCCCCCATCTCCCTTTCTCACAGTGCAAAAACTCATGGGCACTCAGTGAAATTAATGAGCAGTAGGCTTAGAACAGATAAAAAGAAGTACTTCTTCACCCAAAGGGTAATTAAAATGTGGAATTCACTACTGCGGGAAGTGGTGGTGGATGCAAGCATAGACAGCTTCAAGAGGGGAATGGGTAAAGATATGGAGCAGAGGTCCATCAGTGGCCATTAGCTACAAGGTATAGATGGAACACTATTTCTGGGGCAGTAATACTCTGTATGCTTGGTGCTTGAGGGGCAACAGTGGGAGGGCTTCTGGTCCCACTGGTAGATATCCTGATGGTGCCTGGGTTTTGGCCACTGTTTGACACAGAGTATTGGATTGGATGGGCCATTGGCTTAATCCAACATGGCTTTTATTATGTTCTTAAATGATTTCTATGAAACAGGAAACTAGCTGATAAAGTTAATTTACTTTGAAATTGCCACAGGACTTCCCTAAAACAAAAAGAATTTCAGTTATCTAGGAACTGGGATTTCAGCTACAAAATGGGCTCACTTTCTTTTCTGGATTGACCTCCACTACCACTACAGCATCAGGACAACAGAATAAGGTAAAGCATGGTTTACAACCTCTCCCTCTCTTTCCTTGTCACATGTTCTCTCCCCCCACCCCACCCCTGCATTCACCCATAATATTTTTAACCATCCCTCTGGAAATACCATCCATCCTGTCCCAGGTTCCCTCTTGTCCTTCTAGTTCATCACTAGAGCCCCACATCTCCCCCCCCCCCGCTCCAAGCATCTATGCAACCCAGTAACTTTTCTTTACTCCCATCCTCTGCAACATCCTTAACCATGACCCCTATTGCCCTGCCAGTCTCTTGAAGTGGGGGACGGGATGGGACAGAAACTACTTCTTGAGGCTGAGTTAAAGGTATAGAGGCCTGGAGTTCTCCTGGAATTACAACTGATTTCCAGACTACAGAGATCAGGTTCCCTGGAGAAAACAACAACTTTGAAGATTGGACTCTTTGGCATCATGTCCCTGTTGAGCTTGGTTTGCTTAGGGCCACTAGCAATGCAATTCTAAGGACACTTCCCTGGGAGTAAGCCCCATTAAGTAGACTTCAGTAGGGCTCAGAGTAGACCTACTTAGGATTGCATTGTTAGTGAGCTTGTGACAGAGACAAAAATTGAAATGGGAACCTTGCAGCTCATTCCCATGTGTCCTGATCCTCTGTGCAGTCTTAACTATTTAGTAATCTGCGTGCTGTGTAAAGCTTCTGTTAATTTCATCAAATCAAACTGTTCCTAAATGCAAAAAAATATAGAGGATGATTGAAGACTTGGCAGTTATTATGTACTGAGATCGAGGCAGCATTTCAAACAAGTGATTTTTTTATTAGCTCAGAACAAAACACTCATAGAACGATCCAACTTTATACATTTTGAACTAGCGAGGCCACACCCCCTAGTACAGTAATGTCCAATCACGATAGAGAGCTTAGGACCAATGGGATTTGTTCCCACCGAGGTCAGGGTCTTTCCGGATTGGTCTGTCATGCTACAGCAACCGATCTGACTGCAGACTTTAGAATCCTAAGAGTCTATGGAACTTGTGTCTGAAGCTCCGGCTTGTTTACTTTAGGCAATACAATAAGCAAATACATAACACTCCTCCCCCCTAAGTTAGCACACATAGTCCTTCAAATAGTTTGGGTGAGTCCATACTCTTTGGGAATGCTGGGGTTGCTGACATTGGCGGGATTGTTGCTGACATTGGCGGGATTGTTGTCCATGTCCATAGTGCAGTCGGGAACTGCAGTGCCAGAACTCTCAGGGTTGGGAGACAGTGTCAGTTCTGAAGAGCTCCTGCGTTCAGTGCTGAAGATGCGGTGCAATGCCATAATCACCTATGCTGAGGTCATAGTTGATATTGGTATAACTTCCAACCATTTAGAAAAAGAGTCTACTATGATTAGGAAGACATGTACCTGAAGCGGGATGGCAAAGTCCACATGCAGGCAGGACCATGGCAAACGAGTGGTTTCCCAGTGCTGGACTGGTACCTGTGGTGGCTCTGGTCGCAACTCCTGACAGAGTCTGGACCCAACTCTCAATCTTTTGGTACAACCGTGGCCACCAGACATAGCTGCGGGCTAAAGCCTTCATATGCACGACATATGTCGGCGAGGCGGTGGGTCATAAGATCATAATTGACCATATCAAATGCTGCCGTTAAATCTAATAACAACAGCAGCACTGACCCGCCTTGATCCAGATGTCTACGGAGGTCATCTGTAAAGGCAACCAGAGCCGTCTCTGTCCCATGGCCAGGGCGGAAGCTGGACTGGAAAGGATCAAGGGTGGAAGCATTATCCAGGAAAGCCTGGAGTTGTTCAGCCACCGCTCTCTACCACCTTGCCCAGTGTTAGCCGAATTGCTTTATTTACAGCAATTGGCAATTTATAAATGGGTTCTTG